TACTATATATATATATATATATATATACTATATATATATATATATATATATATATATATATATATATTATTAGATGGATAGATTTTTTTATAATCAGGCGTGCAATTTCGAAGACTTTTTTAATATTCAAATGATGCTAGGGATTAATACGTTCTCAGGTAATGTCATACTTTTTACCTTATTGGAACGTTAGTATTTTGTCAAGTAGAAATTAAGAATCGCGAGATAGATAATAAGCGTACAATTTTTATAAATAAAAAATTTGAAATAAAAATGGCAAGTATGTCACATAATATTTAAGATACTTAGAATTTGTTCCGTATTTGTAAATATTAAAAAATATGATAAAATGCTGTGGAGATATATAAAAATTTTTGATGTAAATCAATAAATAGACATTATCACATATACATTAATATTACAATATAATAAGAACAGATCTTAAATAATAAAATATAACATGAAAAGTACGAATGAAAACAAAAAAGAGAGATATGGATATATTATTTATTCTTATCTCTTTTTAAATAATATTTTTACTTTAAAATATTGCTTATATGTGTTGTAAAAAATTATTCTAGAAATAAGATGACTTTCCTTTTCTTTTAAGAAAAAGAAAAAGGGGTAATATTCATATGTTTGAAGAGTATAGAAATGAACAATGGCTTGGTTCAAAAAAACTATATTAAGCTAATTTAACGATGGATTGACAAAAAGACGATACATTTTATATTATATAATATTAAAATATTGATACCCGTTTGTTTCTTTATTGTATATTTATAATTTTAAATATACACGTGGAAATATTTTTAAGAAATGGCAACTATAGTTGCTTTTTTTCAAACTACAGCGGACAATCCATGTAGCATATCATAATCGAGTCATAATCAATTTGTAATTATTTGAGCATAATTTTTAGTTAATAACAAAGAATTGAAAGTGTTTATTTCTTAATTTATTCCAACCATTGTGATTTATTCTTTGCCAAATATTCGGATTAATTGTAATTATAGATAAAAATATTAGATAAAAATGAAAATAATGTATGTTATGTCTGATGTTACAAAATTAATTAAAAAATAACATTTTCAAAATTTTTTAAAATCATATTTATTACATAGCAAAAAATAACATTAAAACTATTAAAATCAGATTTTTTATTCTGTGCTAATATAAATACAATATTTTTTGTGATAAAATGCAGGATTAATTATTCAAGTATCTCATGCATCTTTATTATATTTCTATTTTTTATCCTTTTGTTCACGGCATATAAAATTACTTTTCTCCAAAATTTCTGACAAAATGAACTGGAAATGTTCTATTCTACACAATATACAGCTTTATTGTACAATATACATACGAACTTATATCAATACTAAAAAGCTTAACAAGAAAACAAAAGAAGAAAAATATGAAAAACAATGACCTCTTGTATTATCAAGCAGCATTGATGTAACCCCACAATCTTATACAAAAAGGTGCCTATAACGAGAAAAATTTAAGTACTGACATGGGACAATATACGTGTCTCTAATATTCTTAATATAAAAAGATTATTGCATTTAGAAGTAAATTTTAAGCAAATTTATTTTATATTACAAATGTCCGAAAAATATATCATTCCATGTTCTTATATCGTAATTTACATGTTCTTATATCGTAATTTATACGATCTAATATACAAAATAGACTATAGGAGCCCAAAAATAGAAGAATAAATTAATATCATTATATAATCGCAATGAATAAATTAAGGATTACACAATGCTCACCCTTATTTAAAAAGAAAACTGTTTGTACTTGTACATCGAGTTACTTTTCCACCATTGTCATTTATTTATAAAATAATAATTATCATAGATATTATCATAGAAATATTACTTCAGTTTCTGTACAATTTATTATTATACCTATACCTCAAATAAGTACCAAGATACTTTTGCAAACAAAATTATTCACATCAACGTTTCAAGCATACATTAATTTAGTTTAATTCTAAAATTGATACGTATAAATAACTCAAAAACAGAATAATAGAGGTATTTCAAGATATTCCAAAAATAATTATATAATTATATAATTATATATTGCATGCATTTGTAAAACTTCCAAACTTCAATGATACTTTACAGCCGTAGATTAATTACTTATATTTTTAAATATTATATTCTCAATCTCTTTTTTAAAATTACATGCTCAAATCATTAGATATTATATCATTACATAAGATTAGATATTTAAATTTTTATAGATAAAATTTTTTACTTTCTTTAATTTTTATGTTGTTCCTAAGTCCTTCGTACTTATCTATATCGTATAAATTGACAAGTTTGATATATGCTTGTATGTTTGAACTTGAAATTATTAAAATATAAATTTTATATGTATATTTTAAAAATTTAAAACTTTATTCCTTTTTAAGTAAAAGCGAAAAAAAATTTTTATATTTCTATTTAACTCTTCAATTAAACAGAATGCTTAAATATAAATATTAAGTTTTTGATGATATTTAAATTTTGATATCTACTTTTACATTCTTGAATCTTAATATTTTTAGTTGTATATAATTTTTCTAATACTAAAAAATTATTAAAGCTGAGAACTTTTATCTCTAATGCAAAGAAAACTAAGAAATCAGTTTTCCTAAATGAAAAAATATTTTTAAATCGCTGTAAATCGCTATAATTAAAATGATTGCATAAAGTGATCAGTAATAAAGTTTAAATTTTACAATACTTTTTCACTATTTTTTTATACTTTCATTTTCAATACGATTATTTTTGACGGAGCATTTTAAAAAATGTTTTCTTCTTTAACAGGAAGATAATGATTTAATCTTTTTTACTATATAGTTTGTTCATACAATATTCTTTAAATTTATAAATCTTCTTATTCCTAGAATCATTTTAATTCTTTGAATTTTTACATATCTTATTTTCAAAGATATAAAAATGGTGGACAGTTTAAAAAACAATTTATAGCATTTTTTAATGCAATTCTTTAGCTCCTAAGTTTTAATACTGAAAATTATATAGATTTGAGACATTTTCGTCAAATAAAAATCATATAATATATAAAGTCATATTCTATATCTCCCATTATTAGTATCTTTTATGTATATACGTACCAGTAAATCAATAAGAGATAATTTTTTTGTTAAAGCAGAAAGAAACTATTAAGATTAAAAATTAATCGTAACTAATGGCTCGATAAACAAGAATTTAAATCGGTTAATTATACGAACAATATCTCTAAAAAATAACAAATTTAATAACCTACTAATTTCTTCTAGACCTGAATGATTGCTCATCATCGTGATAAAAGATCCAGACACGTAATGTTCTTTAACGTATTTGGATCCTTTGTTTGCATATGATTTTTTTTATTCGAGTAATAATAACTATAAAATCGGTGATGATGGCGCGTCGAGAATAATGATGATCTCGACGATTTTGGCGTACGATCATTCGTCGACCATCAATTCGAAGTGCACCGCGCCCTTCTTTTCGGATCGGTATGAACTATATTGGATATTCCTTGCCCAT